CTCTAAGTCGTTCCCTTTACTTGTCTCACTCTCATTAATTTTCTCCCTCTCTCTGTCTCTCTACCTCTCTCAGCCCATTTTGAACAAGGCGCTGGTTATCTTCAATAGCTTTGGATTGAGCAGCATTGCCATGGCCATTACCGTCGCCGACTTCAGTCTGAGCATGCTGCGCACCCTGCCCATACATTTGGGTGCACAATTCATCAGGGAGATGATCACATTGTTCATCGATGTTAGCAGCAGGTGCGTCTCTATCTTCATGCTAGCTGTCCCACTTTAATTGATGCATGTTTTCCTGTTTTCAGGGAACAATTGACGCTCAGCCGGCTGGCTGTTATGGAGAAGGTGTTGCAAATGTTTCAGCTAATTGTGGAGCAGCCGGGCAACGGGTCACTGGTGCTGATGCCCAGCATTTTGACGTTTAGCACACAACAGATATTGCCGTTGCTGCAGCAACAGAATGCGGCAACGGACAGCAGCGAGATAACCAGCCTGCTATTTGCGCTCTTCGACAGGTGAGCGTAGTCATCACACACACACAGCTTCTGACTTAATTGCTAAAACTTCTGGCACATCACGACAGCGTGCTGACCTGCAAGTGGCAATTCTTCTACAAGAATCAGCTGAGCAATGGCCATGGCAATGGCCATGCCAATGGACAGCAGCAGTCAACGGCAACATCGCCGCCGCACAATTTCAATTGCAGCGATAATCTGCATCCGGAACACTTTATGGCCATTATGAATGCGTATGGCCAGATGCTGGTCAGCGGCACAGATCCCAGTAATGTGCGCAGCGTTTTGGTATCCATGCAGAATGTGAACGAACGGAGTCGCCTCTATCAGCGTGCCCTGTTCAAGGAGCAGCTGTTGGCCTCCTTTCAGCGGGCGCTGCTCAATCTGTTGTCGAGCGGCGAGGGTGCGCTACATTTTGATCTGATTGCACAGGCACTGTATGCCATGGGTCAGGTGGATCGTCGCCAGCTGCACGAGAGCTTCGTGAATGCGGCATTGCCAGTTCCGCAAACAGCGCTCGAGGAAATATGCCAGACAACTGTACGTCTCAATTTGCTTATATACTAATTTAATTTATTCTAATTAAACATTTTTATGTGCTCTGGCAGGACATTCCAACGTTTACGCAGAAACTGACGCAGCTCATGCAGGACGCGCACTGTGCGCATCTCAATGAGACGACGTAAGCGAATGCGCCAAATGGAAAAAACAAAATGATAAAGAGAAACACATCAAGGAACACCCGCACACCGAAACAATCCCTCACCGTGTCTTCGTCCCTGTTATATCATGTTGTTTTGTATATATGTACTTGTGCGAGTCTAGATATATATCTATATATAGATATTTGCGATAAATGTGCTGTCGGGCCAGCCAGTGTCCCCTTCCCCTGCTGGTGTGTTCCTGTATAACTATATTATTATGCAACTTCTGTGGTTTTTATGTCCTCGTCATAAGTCTGTTGAGGTCTATTGAGAAATTCACAAACAATTTATAAAAGACAATGTTAGCTTGTAATGCGATTCCGTTATATAAAGAAAAAGAAAAAGATCAAGAAAACCAGAAAGAAAAAAAAAAACAGAAAACAAATTTAAGCAAAATAAACTATTATATAATACCCATATACTATACTTAAACGTATTAATATTATATTATTATATAACAAAAAAATGACATAATCAAATGCTTCTGTGTCCAAAATTTGCAAAAAAAAAAGTCATATATGTATGCTAGCCTACACACACACACACACATATATATATATATATATATATATATATATATATATATAATTAGCATTAATCGAAATTCGTATCAAAATGACGACGCGTTCACAATATTTAAAATGCATTCATTTACCTAATTTATTTTTACGCATGTAAAGTCCATACGACATCTGGAAACAACATGTCCACATTTAACTTAACTTTAAGACCGATCGCTGCGTCAAATTCGAAATTCTAATTTATTGCGAAAATGAAACTACGTGACATCATTTTATATTTTCAAAATGCATTTTTGTGAAATAAATTTATTAAATGTTATGCACGAGGTATTTTAATTTCTAGAATATAAATGGAAATTGCTCATGAATATTGGATGCAGGCTCTAATAATCTCGTTCTAGTACAGATACAGATAGAGATACAGATACAGATACAGATGCACAGATGCACAGATACACAGATACACAGCTACACAGATACACAGATACACAGATACACAGATACAGATACAGATACAGATACAGATACAGATACAGATACATATATAGATACAGATACATATGTAGATACAGATACAGATACATATATAGATACAGATACAGATACAGATGCAGATACACAGATACACAGCTACACAGATACACAGATACACAGATACACAGATACACAGATACACAGATACAGATACAGATACAGATACAGATACAGATACAGATACAGATACAGATACAGATACAGATACAGATACAGATACAGATACAGATACAGATACAGATACAGATACAGATACACAGATACAGATACAGATACAGATACAGATACATATATATGTAGATACAGATACATATGTAGATACAGATACAGATACATATATAGATACAGATACAGATACAGATGCAGATACACAGATACACAGCTACACAGATACACAGATACACAGATACACAGATACACAGATACACAGATACACAGATCACAGATACACAGATACAGATACAGATACAGATACAGATACAGATACAGATACAGATACAGATACAGATACAGATACAGATACAGATACAGATACAGATACACAGATACAGATACAGATACAGATACAGATACAGATACAGATACATATATATGTAGATACAGATACATATGTAGATACAGATACAGATACATATATAGATACAGATACAGATACAGATGCAGATACACAGATACACAGATACACAGATACAGATACAGATACAGATGCAGATACACAGATACACAGATACACAGACACACAGATACACAGATACACAGATGCACAAATACAGATACAGATACATAGATACACAGACACACAGATACACAGATACAGATACAGAGACACAGATACAGATACAGAGACACAGATACAGATACACGTTGACCTTCGAATAGTAATAAGAACACGTGGTTTTGATTTTGTCTAGCTAAAATACTTTAATAAGAGGCACTTCCGATAAGATATAGCTTATCGACCAATTGGCTTCCAATTGGAAGACGGCGAATGTGCATTTCTCATAAGAAACCAGTTGAATTCGAGCTGCAGGCAGTATACAAAGCATATTTCTAGGCTTAAGGGCTAAGTGCCGGGACGTAGAAGAAGAGATGGGCAACGGTTGAGGTGAGGCTCTGTCAGCTGTGGCAACACACGCGAAATTAATCCAATGCCAGGCAATCCGAATGTAAATAAATCAAATAGAAGAGCACTCAAAAAAACAATATATATATATATATATATTGGACAAACAGCAAGAGGACAGCAGACGGGCACGTGAATAGGGAGGCAAGTCCTTAAAAGCGACAGCTTCCTTTTCATTGTTCCACTTACATTTCGGTTTTTGCATTCGCGTTCAGGTGTTGATAACAAAGGGAAATACACACAGAGGAAGATAACAAAAAAAATATGCTGAAATTGAATTTAAATGAAAAGCGAAAGCAAAATACGGCAAGCACAACAGGAACAATAGCGAAAATTATAATAATAAACAAGAAGGAAGAGAGACAACAACAACAAAATATCACCCACTTCCGTTGCAGGTAGTTTTTGCACAGGTAGTCTCTGCTTTGCATACACAGCACGAGCGCGAGCGAGAGCGAGAGAGAGAGAGCGAGGATCACACGAGCATCCTGCGGAAGTGTGTGAAACTAGAGATGACACATTGTGAGCCCAACACGAGCATGTGCCGTGCTTCCGTGTCACGTGCCACGCGAAAAAGAAACGATTATTTCACTGTAAATGTTATTCAAATAGATATACAACAGATAAAGATATATATATAAATATCAATTGTCTATAGTAAACGGGATTTAAGCCTATCGATATGTATATCGATTATCTCTTTTGATATTTTGCTAAGCGAGCTTCGTGTTGTGTCTGGCACGTGTTACACAATAAGACAGGAAAATATTACTGAAAATAGTACCGCAAAATGCTGCATAATGGCCTCAGGCATCGATATACGATATACGATATCGATATACGTGCTTATCGATATTAATTATGGCATCAAGTTCAGTCTGGCCATGTTGCAAATGACTATTTCACTAAAAAGTTACTCAATATACAGTGAGTAAGCATCGATACATAGTTATCGATTTACTCTGGCATCGACTTGGTACGGGCACATCTTTGGCTAGGTATCGTGTCACGCGCCGAAAGCACGACTTGCGCACATTTATATATAAGCCACAAGGTCAAGTACTGCATACTGTTCTCAGGCATCGATATACGATATCGATATACGTGCTTATCGATAGTTATTTTGTCAACAAGCGAAGTCTGGCCATATTGCAAATGACTATTTCACTAAAAAGTTACTCAATATACAGTGAGTAAGCATCGATACATAGTTATCGTTTTACTCTGGCATCGAATGGGTACGGGCACATCTTTGTCTAGGTATCGTGTCACGCGCCGAAAGCACGACTTGCGCACATTTCTAGCAGGCAGCAGAAAACTTTCAGCCCCAACATGCGATCGCAGCGATTACGTATCCAGAAGCAAGAACAACGCGAGCAACTGCCAATGACAAGTGAAGACAACACAATGAAGCGCTGCCAAAGCAAGGTGGAGGAGGAGGGGGGGCGGGGGGCGGGGCAGTGTGCTGTCGAATTTGGTTTGCAAATGGAACGACGCAATACGCTTAACACCTGATTGAAGGGGTCAGCCAGGTGCATTGGCGCATAGTCCAGCCGCCGCTGGACGACTATAATTGACCAAACGCGCCGCCAGACCACACACAGTTGAGCATTGGCAGCGCAACGAGCAGCACATTTGATCAAGCAGGATCAAAGACATTAAACAACAGACAGACAAGCAACAGGAGCAGTTACAAAGTTCGCAAGGATGTCTGTGGAAACGGTGCAGGAGACGCTGCAACAGGCGGCCGGCAGCACGGGCACGGGCACGGGCTTCATGCTCAGCCCCCTGCTAACTGGCCTGGTTGGCACCATACTGATCATGGCCCTGTACGAGTACTGGCATCGCAATACCCGGGAATATCGTATGGTGGCCAATATACCGTCGCCGCCATCGTTGCCGCTAATTGGCATGGCGCATATGGCCGCCGGTCTGAGCAATGCCGAGATACTGGCTGTCGGTCTGGGCTATCTGAACAAATATGGCGAGACAATGAAGGCCTGGCTGGGCAATGTGCTGATTGTGTTCCTTACGAATCCCAGCGATATTGAGCTTATACTGAGCGGACACCAGCATCTGACCAAGGCCGAGGAATATCGCTATTTTAAGCCTTGGTTCGGTGATGGTCTGCTGATCAGCAATGGCCATCATTGGCGTCATCATCGCAAAATGATTGCGCCCACATTCCATCAGAGCATCTTGAAGAGTTTTGTGCCCACGTTTGTGGATCACTCGAAGGCTGTGTCTGCGCGCATGGCCAAGGAGGCGGGCAAATCATTTGATGTGCACGATTATATGTCACAAACGACCGTCGATATACTGTTGTCAACGGCAATGGGCGTCAAGAAGCTGCCGGAGGGCAATAAGAGTTTCGAGTATGCCCAGGCTGTGGTGGACATGTGCGACATTATACACAAGCGTCAGGTGAAGCTATTGTATCGTTTGGATAGCATCTATAAGTTTACCAAGCTGCGCGAGAAGGGTGATCGCATGATGAACATCATTTTGGGCATGACACGCAAGGTGGTCAAGGATCGCAAGGATAATTTCCAAAACGAATCGCGTGCCATTATCGATGAGGTGGACGAGACGCCCGCCAAGCAGGCACGCGCCACTGCCGCAACCAAAAAGGAGGGTCTGCGCGACGATTTGGATGACATCGATGAGAACGATGTCGGCGCCAAACGGCGTTTGGCCTTGCTCGATGCCATGGTCGAGATGGCCAAGAATCCCGATATCGAATGGAACGAAAAGGACATCATGGATGAGGTGAACACCATTATGTTCGAGGGACACGATACCACCTCGGCCGGTTCCAGTTTTGCGCTCTGCATGCTGGGCATACACAAGCACATCCAGGAGCGTGTCTTTGCCGAACAGAAGTCCATCTTTGGCGACAATATGCAGCGCGATTGCACCTTTGCCGACACCATGGAAATGAAATATCTGGAGCGTGTCATACTCGAAACATTGCGCATGTATCCGCCCGTGCCGTTAATTGCCCGCCGCCTTGATCACGATGTCAAGCTGGTCAGTGGGCCATATACGGTGCCCAAGGGCACCACCGTTGTTCTATTGCAATATTGTGTACATCGTCGTGCCGACATCTATCCCAATCCGACCGAATTTGATCCAGACAATTTTCTGCCGGAACGTGCCGCCAATAGGCATTACTATAGCTTCATACCGTTCAGTGCCGGACCGCGCAGCTGTGTTGGACGCAAATATGCCATGCTCAAGCTGAAGGTTCTCCTATCCACAATTGTGCGCAATTTTATTGTCCATTCGACGGACACGGAGGCGGACTTTAAGCTGCAGGCGGACATTATACTCAAGCTGGAGAATGGCTTTAATATTTCGCTGGAGCCGCGCAAATATCAAACGGCCGCGTAGATAGATACCCTGTAAAAGCAGCTTCGTGACCCGCTATATATCCTGTATATATATTGCGCGTAATCGAGCCATCCCCCCGCCCTGCCCCGCCCACTTCCCCACTCGACCACAGTCAGCCAGAGAGTCAAACCTTGTGTGTGAGCCAAGCGCATTTTGATAAAAAGCAGAAAAAAAAGCACAAAAAATCGTAAAAAAAAAAACACGTAGAAAAACATTTCTTAGAGGAAATCACATTTTTGTTCGTTTCTTTTTGGTATAAGCGGTTGGTGTCCTTATATCTTACATAATATACACATTTATATATTTTTTTTTAATATTATTATCATTATTTTTTTTTTGAAATATTTATTAAGTCACATGGTTTATATGAAACCCAAAAATTATGAAAAATATATAAAGCAAACGCAAAAGTAGCCAAAAGAGCTGCAAAAACATACAGAATTCAAGTTGTTTTAATTACAGGGTATACCCATATTTTTAGTATTACTTCTTTTCAATTACGAGGTATCTCTTAGTTGTTCAATCTATTCATATATACGCCTGAAATAGTTCTTATATGCAGATATTTCCGTACATAACCCTAAAATCTTGAACAAACATAACCTCACAAACCATTCCGATTGATCAATGCCGCACTTTGATAAGATCGCAAACGAATAACTGTAAACGACACAGTTGCATTTTGGCAGTTGTGCACGCGACAGGTCAGCCATGCTGCAGGGTTGTCAAGCGTCAACAACGATAAAAGGGTTTGAGGTTAGGTACGAACCGCCGGCCTCTGCGACAGCGGCAATTGCAATAAAAACCAAAACGAATGTACAAACTTCCGGCTTGCACGCCAAATGGGCGCATCGAGTTACCTTGTCGAACAGGTAAAGGCTATAAAAAAAAAACAACTAATAATCAAAAAGAATAATGTGTTACCATAGCTAGGATGCCGCAGCCTGCGCCGCTTGCTATTTGCCTAGCGCGCAAAAAAGGACAATGACCAAACAGAAAACATTTGACTCACATGTGTGTGTGTGTGTGTGTGTGTGTTTGAGGACCTGCGCGTTCATTAATCTTGTTAGCATCGCGCTGCCTTGAAAAGGAAGAGCGGAAGAAACCGAAAGGATTTCCGTTTCGTAATACGATGCTGGCTGGAAAATTGGCTAAGAAAACTGGCTTAAGGCTTAAAAGTGAAAGCCGACACACACATACATACACACACAGCAGCAGCAGCAGCATCAGCTAATACTCACATCGAAAAGTATCGAGTATCAGCTGCACTTGGCCAGGCTCAGCTTTCTGATAAAATGCGCTCATTATTACAACAATGGCATTTGCATTTGTCACAAACGCAGCAATCGTCGCCGATTAATCGCATTACTTAAGCGTTGGCCCCCAAAAAATAAGAAGAAGACAACAACTAAATATGAGGTGTCAACTTAACTTAGCGAAAGGGTAGCGCAGCTTTAGCATAATGCTAACAAATATGCACGAACATCGACGCAAATAATGCAATGCAAGGACAGAAGCCAGCGTGCCATACAATATTTTGACATTGCGACGCATTAGCGTATTAAATATGTAACTAAAGTTATCGATGCCCTTGATTGGGTATGCATATGCAGATCGATCAATCATCGCAGGTTGACAAGTATCGATGTTTTTGCATCGCTAATTAGTATTTTTTTAATTGTGCGTGGGTGTGCTTTACTCTTCCTCTTTTTTTTTTATTATTTTTTTTATTCTTTTTTTTCTACTTTTTTTTGATGTGTTTTTATGAAAATAAATTGTGAGTGAAGTGTGCCTAGCTATAATATAATAGTGTAATTGATTTGTGAGTGCTTTTTTTACGCGATGCCATGGAAAATTGAAGATTTTATTCGGCCTTGGCGCCTGTTTGCCGCCTGCTCCAAAGTAAGTTGCGATTGAATGAATGAAACAAATACGCACATGCATATACATGTCATTTTAATATATATTTCAACACAAAGTTGCCAGTTTTATGTGCTTTTAATGGTGGCTGCGGCTAATTAGCAGTTTTGGTGGGGTGGGGGGGTGGGGAAGGCAGGTACCTGTTGGCGTGCTTCGCAAAGCAAAGTTGCGCCTGCGCTTGCAGTTACATACATACATATATATATACATACATACATATGCACACAGGCACATCACAATCAACTTGTATGTATGTATGTATGTAATAAGCGCAATGCATGATGGCGGCCATGGCGGGGGTTGCCCATTTGTCTATCAGTATATGCTGGCGCAACAGGATGCCGTGGTTGCCAGACTAATTGCTTTGCTTTGTGACGTCAGCAACTGTTGCGCGCTGCATACCCTTTGCCAATTAGAAATGCAAACAAAAAAAAAAATACGATTAATTATCGATTGCACTCGACTTGCATCGCTAATTAGCATGTTCTTTTTTTTTGTTTACATTCGCAATTGAAGTTTGCTTGTGCGCATATTAATGGCCGTCTGTTTGTTTACAGTTGTTTGTGCTAAATTTACGTGTTGTGGCAATAATTTGCAGTGCAATTTCTGCTTCTTTATGCAAAATAATTGACTGTTTAATTAGATTTGTAGGGTGGCGCGTGCAAGGGAAGCCTATTGGCATTTAATTAGGGGCTTTATAAACTAATAATTAAATAATTAATTATGAAAGGTAAAAAAGTTCTTTAAATTTTAATTACGGGCGCGAAATGGTTGTGAACGAAGCCCCCGAAATTTATATATATATTTACTTTGTTTTTAGCATGAATTATTATCCACATATACATATACATATACACATGTACATATAGATGTATCGAGTATTTTAATGCAGTTCCATATTGTTATTGTTGCTCTGGGCCATTGATTGAGCTGTTTCCGGGCTGGCAATTGTCGTAGACCTCACACACGTTGTGTGCGTAAACAAATCTTGAAATCATTGCCAAATCTTTGTCGAACGCATTATCAAATTCAAGTTGGCCATCAAATGTTGCCACAATGGCCCTTAGAAGCAGCTTCGGGGAATGCACACAGCGCGAAAACTGTGCCAGTGAATGGGCTGAATGAGTACAAGGACGAGAATGCGTATGGCTCAATCAATGCAACTGTCAAAATTGTTGCTTCGAAACAATTGCGAGTTGATGTCTCAATGTGCACCACACCGGGCGTTCAAGTCAAAACATGAACCAGCAGCAACACGTGGAGAAAGGACAAAATTCCAGGGACAAGCAGGCAAAACATGTGCAGCCGAGCACATTGGGGAGCCGGAGCTAAAATAGAAACAGAATCAACACACAGCGCACAAACAAGCCAAAACGAACGAAAGAAAGGGGACTGCTCGACTAGAAGATACCCAGACTTAAAAACTTAAGACTTCACTTAAGACTTAACCTTGACTTCACTTAAGACTTAACTTTGACTTAACTTTGACTTCACTTAGACTTCCATAAGACATAACTTTGACTTAACTTAGACTTCACTTAAGACTTCACTTAAGACTTCACTTAAGACTTCACTTAAGACTTAACTTAGACTTCTCTTAAGACATAACTCTGACTTAACTTAAGACTTCACTTAAGACTTAACTTTGACTAAACTTAGACTTAAAACTTAACACAATTTCTTCTTCTTCTTGTCTTGACTCTGCACAATGTGTTATACGTTCTTGCTTAAGTTCGGTGCTTATTGTCCGATCTAAATGAAATTTAAAACCTAAAACTGTTTCTATATACCAAAGCTCAATATCGTACACTTCGATTTATGCTCAACATGCCTTCTTACAAAATTGATATTTATCGATATTCTTAAAATAAGGAAAGATATAAAAGTAGAACCCATCAAATTGTTTTGCGTATTAAACATTTCAAGTCTCTTGCTCATCAAATTCTCGAGATCTTGAAGACAGAAAGTTGCCTTGCTTGGGCCTGTTGCATAACTTGACACGAAAACATGATACCCTTTTATTGAATTTCAATTGGGTATAAGGTAAAAGAAGAAAACACATGCTATCCTTATGGACGCCTTGGGAGCAGACCCAACCGTGCACATTTTGAATACTTATGCAAATGAGCACAATATGTTTTGAGTATGAGTATTTTAAATGAATTGTTGGCCTATTTATTTGGAACTCTATGCTCTGATTATGCGCTGCATAGCTTAGGTCAACCGCAGCACGTTGCTAATCGGTTTATCAAAGTGTTAAAAAACCCGGCCCGATGTCCCGTTGTGCCGTTGTCCCGCTCGACATGCCGCTCGACCTGCCGCTCGACCTGCCGCTTAACGACTTAGCCACAAAGCGCACACTTAAGTGCCGGACATTGTCCGTCTGAAGTGCAGCCACTCGACGAGCCTAAGCTATTTGAATATGCTGCACTTCGTACCGGCTTAGAGTTGGACGAATGTCTAAGCCAAATGAGATCGTTTAATTGACACCGCAAAATCCAAGATCTGTTCCCTAACTCGGTCTTAACTCTTGGCATAAGCTGGCCGGGCCGGGTTAAGGCTCGCATGAATGAACCCGGCCAAATGCAATGTTGCTGCTTGCTCTGGTTAAACTTGGATATTATAAACTCTAGGGTTCACTGTGCTGCTTAAGAACCAAAAATTAACCGGCATTGCCCAGTCTTACATTAGAACTTAAAACAAGTAAGAGGTTCTAGTCGGGAGCACCCGACTAGGGGATACCCTGAACCCTCTACTTCCAACATCAAATGCATATATATATTTTATTTTAGAAGCTATATGTCAAGTTTGGAGACTCTAGCTCTTATTATTTACCAAAATTGCCCAAAAAACACGATATCGATATCGATTTCTTATCGATTGCTTGGAAACGGGGCAAGTTATCGATTATCGGAAACAAACTCGATCTGCGCAGGCACTAGGAGCATCTACATCTAAAATTTCAACTCTAGCTGAAGGAAGCAGCAGAAGGAATCGCACTGATCATAGCCAGATGCCCTGGGTCTGTAGCCTGAGCCCACTTCCAAGTTTAAGCACAAGTATTCTTAAGGAATTTACAACGAAATGTCTTATTAACCGAAGCAAAAGCAAAGCGCGTGCTCGATCAATGCGAACAGCACCTGGCGAGGTAACGTTATATGGGCGACATGAGACTCAGGCCCAGACCACGAACCCGAACCCGAACTCAAATTCAAACCTACTGGAGGCTGGCGGCTGGAGTCGGCGCACATGCCACAAAACGAATAATGAGTTATTACATCAAATGATTTATGAATGTGAATATTCAATATTCAATATTCAATGGGTGACATGCGTTGCGTTGGGGGCGTGTCCCAAAATAACTGTGCAGAGCACACGAAAAACAAAAAAAAAAAAAACCAAAAGCCGCGCTCTGTAACCAAATACGGCGGCAGAAGGTCGAACACGAAGGAGGAGGAGGAGGAGCAGGAGGAGGAGCAGCAGGAGGAGGAGAAGCAAAGGGTATCAAAGGGAAACCCACAATGAATATTCATTTGCCCTAAGCCTTTGGCATGCCAAAAAAAAAAAAAAAAACAACAGCCAAAAAAAGAAAAGGAATCAAATTGATTTTTGACAAGCAACGGGAAAATTACGGCAAACGGGAATTGAAAATTTGGAAATATGAGTGAGTGAGAAATCGAAGGTGTAATCAGAGCGAGCGCTCTCCCTCTCTCCCTCTCTCCCTCTGTTCCTCTCATATGCAAGGGCGTGTCGCATTACCTGGCGCAATATTAATAAGCATAACGGTGCCTCGGGCCAGGGATTTTGCTTTTCACTCGTAACGGCGCTGCCATATGAACAGTTAGCTCAACTCGGAGGCACCCACAAGGGTGCGCCTAGACAAACACACCTGGAACTGGCCTGAGCCTGGCTGTGGACCTAGACCTGGGGCCTGCGCCTGGCTCTCTTGTAGGAGAGCTGCGGCTCGCTCGTATTACCCGAAACGTCCAAGAGCGTGCGCTGCAGATGCAACTGCCGCATTGTTATGCCACAACCGTTTACCTCCACTCTCCCCTCTGCCCTCGCTCTTTGGGTTACTTCATCTTCTTGTATTATTTTTCTTAATGATTTTCTTTTTCCCTGCCTCGAGCGGGAACCAATCTCTGTCCGTCTGTGTGTCCGTCTGTGTGTGTGTGTGTAGATAATTTTGCATCATTTCGGCATTGTCTTGTGCCCCGAGCGCCAGGCTCAGGGCAGCTGCGCGGGCGCAGTGTAGACGACAATTTGGCAGAAGACCCTGGGCCTTAGCGCTAGATTTTAATGATGCATATCCATTAGAATCCGTAAATTATTTGGGAATTTTGCTGGGAAACTTTGACGAGTTCTGCAAAATGCTCTAGGATTATTTTCCACGATTCCTAAGATGATTTCTCGCTAGTAGGCAGAGTATTTCACAAATATCTAAAGCTTTAAGGGCGAATAACAGTGTCTGTGATTGACTGATTGATTGACTGACTGACTGACAATTTGCTGGGTATTTTTGAAATGCGTGAATTGTGGATAAGCATAGAGGATTATTTTCAGCAAAGTATATCTCGTTTTGTCATTGATTGACAGATTCATTGACTGATTGATTGACTGACTGATTGAATGATTGCTGACTGATTGATAATTTGCTAGGCATTTTTGAAGTGCGTGGGTTCTGGATAATCATAGAGGATTATTTACACCAAATTATTTCTCGTTTTATCATTGTCTGACAGATTGATTAACTGATTGATTGACTGACTGATTGAATGATTGACTGACTGACTTACATTTCATTGGGCATTTTTGAAGTGCGTGAATTCTGGATAATCAGAGGATTATTTTCACCATACTAAATGTCGTTTAATCATTGACTGACAGTTTGATTGACAGACAGATTGATTGATTGACTGACTGAACATTTTCTTAATTTTTCCTACATTAAAGTAATGTAATAGAACTGTGGAAAGCCCACATCGATTGACTGATTGATTGACTGACTGATTGATTGACTGACTATTTTCTTAATACATCTTGCATACATCAAAGTAATGCATAGAACTTACAAAACAGTTAAAATTTGTTTAAATATGAAATAATTAAATGAAAAATAATTTGCTCGGGATCTGTTTAAATTTGAAAATAAGTTAATTAAAAATACTTTGGCCGGGTATAGCCGGGCATCACGTATATTTTAATATTTGTTATTTAAATAAGCAATAGCATTTTATTTACTTTTTTTGTTTTGTTTTGTCAATCATTTTTCTATCAATAATCTGTCTTCGTTTGCACTTGAATTCCTAAACCACGAAAATGTTCTGTATTCCAACATATTCAAACAAAAAATTGAAATCCCCTAACGTTGATTCTCTCTGATGCATTTTGAGCCTTAATGTTCTATAAGCTGGCAAATATCATTAATTCGAATCTGTGAACAAACCCCTCGCTTATTTTGAGTCCAAAACCGAAACTCAAATGTTTTACTTTTGCGGTTTTTGTGCTCATCAATATGCAGGACGTTGAAAAGTTCTTGCGGCCATATGTTTAAATGAAAAACCGTATGGAAAATTCAAAAAAAAAAATTGAAACACTTGCAACAATTCCCATTCCCACGTTCGGTTGTGTGCTCTGTACGCTGTCATTTATCAGGACATGGCCACATGGTGGCAGGGGTGGGGCGGGGAGGGGTGTAGAGAGGGGGGGGGGCGGCGGCGGCTCATTTGAATAAAAAAGCAAGCGGCGCGCTCAAGCGCAGTGCCTTGTGCCTGAAACTCGCACAGGCCCAAAAAAAGCAAAAGCAACCCAAATGCTCGACGATCGCTTATGCAAATGTTGCCATATCTGCAGAGAAAGAGTGTGTGTGTGTGTGTGTGTTTGTGTGTGTGCCTGTCTCTCTGTGTGTGTGTGTGTGCCGCATGTCCTTGCATGCTTCGCCGCTTATGAAAATGAACATGATATGCTGATTTAATTCCGTTTTTTTTTTTGTGTTATATATATGCATATGTATGTACCTATATATACTCTGTCCATTGTGACGGGACGTTATGGCAGAGACCCTTGGCCCATAGAGCACATATGCTGCGAGTGTGTGTGTGTGTGCGTTTAATGCTAATGACGGTGCATGTTTCATTGTCATTAAGAGCATGGCATCTAAATTCAAAACCGTTAAAATATTTAAAAAAAAGACAAATGTGCTCGAAAAACTTGGAAAAGAGCGCGAGAAGCTTGCAACTTTTTTGGAAAACGCTTGACTAAGTGAATTTGTATATAAAATAGCTGAAAAACTATTGAAAATAGAAAAATGTGCGTACAATAAGATCGTAATATATAGCCTGATTAAAAATATTCAAGCTGGAAAGTTGAGCAATAAAAGAAAATGAAAACTTGAATGAAGTTCAGCAATTGAGGAGCTCCTGCAGCAGCAAAAGATGATCTGAGAAATCTGAGTTCGTTTATAGAAAATAACTCCAATTTGACAAATGACAGAGAACAGACTGAGTAGAAAATATGAAATAGAATCGCAGCAAAGATCAAAGATCTTCAACAAACGTTCTCTTTAGTCGCAGTGCTCGTCGATTCGAAATGTTCGAGCTTTGTTCTGTTTTTAAGGGTTGTCAAAGCTGAGATCCTTGAAATATAGCTCAAGATCGCAAGCGATCGCAGCTTGAACAAGATCTTAGATCTGTCACTTGCGCTGCATAAAGAACCGAAATAGCAGCTTTAAGCCTTATCACAACGGAGTTGAATTTCCTTGAGGATCAGTGATCGTGAGTAAAATATGTGAAGATCTTACCTGAAGATCACAAATCGTTTAATTCTGCTGTCCTTGAGCATCAGCGAGCCTTGAAGATCAGACATCGTAAACTTAGACTTAGACTTGCCTTTGGTCAACCAAAGAGCTTAAAGATTCAGTGAGGATCAGTGATCGTGTTGCTCTGAAAACTTAAGAGCTTTGCTTTTCATGCACTTGTAGCTTGGGAAGAATCTGCTCAAAAATTGAAGAAGTCAAGCACTTTGCCTGATGATAACAAACTTGAACTTTAGAGACGCTGGAATCGTATTGGAATTATAATATATATAACATATATCAGGCAAATGTTATTTACATTAAAGATAGAACACAAATAAAGATGCTTTACTTGAGGAATGAAGATTTGACTGCAAGCTGAATGAGAAACAAAATTAACCAAAAAGTTAAGATCCTGTGATGACATCAGATCAGACTGAAGATGAAAGTTCCATTATCGAATGAGAAAGAAGAGTCTCATTTTATATACTTCTTTTTTTTTACATATTTTACTCAAATATATATTTGCTTATATATGCAACATCATCGCATTAACATCCAACTTAGGCTAGGCAAAAAAATGTTCAACTTAAATTAGGTTACAAAAAAAAAAAAAATGATGACACAAAAAAAATGTTGTTTAGTTTCTGCATGAACTGAGCACTATGTGAACTAAGCTACTTGTTAAGCTATATACAGGTGGGTGGGAGTTGGTGGAGGGGGGGGGGGTGGGGGCTAAGGGGAATGGTTTCCGGCTTGTGTGTTAAATGCCCGCCACAGTGCCGGCAGTCGCATCCGTTTTGGGCGTATGCGCCTCCCACCAATCAATTGCATCGATCATGCTCTCATCGGACAGACAGACGCTGGCATTGTTTGTCGTTTGATCCTGCAGCACATCATGGAATTCCTTTTTGAAGCTGGGCAGGCCAACAACAACATTGTCATAGAACGAGGCCGTTTCCTGATCATAGAATGCTGGCAACAACGAGCCGGCGCACAGCAATTGTTGCTGCTGATAGTTGTTGTTGTTGTTATTGTTGTTGCGGTTGATTGCTGGCGGGGAGCTGTTGCTGCTGTTGTTGTTGTTGCTGGTGACATGCACAAAATCGCCCTCGCTGTATTCCTGTTTGATCAGTTGTTGTTGCTGTTGCTGCTGCTGTTGTTGCTGTTGTGCGGCACACGCCTGCAACAGGAGTTCATTAGCAACGGCAACGGCGACAGGTGAAACTGCAATTGAAGCGGCGGCAGCGTCTTCACCTGCTGCTTGATGCATTGATGAACTGCCTCGTGTTGTTGCCGGCGATGTGCTGCGACTGGTTGTTGTTGCTGTTGCTGTTGGCACGGGCTCTCTCTTGCCGAATTTTATACATTCACCGTTGCTTAATGCAGCTGCTGCTGCAATTGTTGGACTGTTGTTGCTCGCGCAATTTGTGTCAATTAATGCATTCAAATGTTGCTCATCCGCCCGAACTGAGCTATCCTGTCGCTGCAGCATATCCGGCGTTAACAGCTGATAGGTGCTCGTGCCGGCTATTCTCACATACTGCAGGCCGTTCAGCGTTGTCACATTCGGCAGCAGCAGCAGCTCCTCCGGCAATTGTTGCTGCTGCTCCAGCTGTGACGGCTCCTGCATGCACATGCTCTCCTCGAGCTCATAGTTGCTCAGCGTCTCATCGAACTGATCGTCTAGGCCATCGAATTCATCCTTGATAAACATGTAGCTATCATCGCCGCTCGATTCGCTATTCGAATTGCAGCCAGTTGACGCTGCTGCTGCTGCCGCTGCCGCTGCTGCCGCCGCTGCCGCAGATAGAGGCGGAAAATCGAAACCCAATAAACGCTCCAGACTGCGTATATATTCGACGGCCATGCGCAGTGTCTCCACTTTGGATAACTTTTTGCTGGCGCCGCGGCCGGCGCCCTGCGCCTCAAACGCCTCCGATATCTCGTCGGGTATGCGTTCGCGCAGCGCCGCAAAACCGTTGTTCACCTGCTTGACCCGATTGCGTTCCCGGGCATTGCGGCGGGCAACAGCCTGCGGCAACGGCAGACCCTTGCGTCCCGGTGTGCCCGTGCCGCCGGCTCGCTGCACCAGCTCCGCCAGGCACTTGGCCGCGGGCAGCTGTTGCTGCTCCTGCACTTGACTTTGGCTTTGACTATGCTTTGGCTGCTTTTTGGTTAGCTTGCTGCGTTTGCCAGCTGCGCTGACAGCTCCGAATGGTTTATTCTCAATGTTTGGGCATCTGGTCTCGGCCAGCGGCCGCTTGCGGCTCAACGCTGTGCCCGCCGTGGCCGTTGCCGCTGCCGCTGCGGCGCCGAGCATGCCGAAATCCTTGATCTTGCGTATAATCGTATTCGAATTGCTGATGTGCTGCTGCAGCGCATTGGCGCCGCTTTCGCTGAGCACATTGTTGACGGTGATTTTGGTGAAGGCCTTGCTGCTGCTGCTTGTGCCGCCCAATGGAGTAACTGCACCCGATGAACGGGCGCTGCTCTTTAGCTGATTGTTGGCGGCGGCATTCTCTTTGCTGCTGTTGCTGCTGCTTTTGGGCGGCGGCGGCGATGGGCTGAAGCTGAGTGCAGCCATTGATAGGGGGGGGGGAAGGGGCGCTGCTCTCCAAGATCAAGGTCGAGTCCAAGTCTCCACAGTCTGGACCACGCTTCCGCTCCCGCTCTCTCTCTCTCTCTCTCTCTCTCTCTCTCTCTCAATATATATATATATATGTTCTAGCTTGACGTTGTCGTTGTGCGCCTGGCGACAGCTCGCTGCCAACTGACTCGTCTATGGCTCTGGAGCTGGCTTCTGTTCTGGACTTGCTTTCGTTGTGTTTAGGTCCTTACGGTAGGACAGCTGCTAGCGTTCTGTGTCGCGTGCCCGGCCAGAAATGTCATGGGGCGTCAGTTCTGTGCCGTTGGCAGCGGCCTCAACGGCAGCGACGGCGGCGACGGCGGCAGCGCTGCCAACAGGAAATGACTTCGTTGACTGATGGCGCACACAATGTACAACAACAACAACAAAAAGAGGAGAAAAAAAATGTATAACGTATCCTTCGGTTATCCTGCGCTGCCGCAGCGCCTGCGTCTGCCGCTTATGTAAAACATAATGAAATGAAAACAACAAACGGCATTTATTTCACACACACACAGGCACACACACACGCATGACTTTTCATCCCCTAGGTATTGGGTGTCCCTGCCCATTCCCTCGATCCACACACACACACTCGCGCACACAAACACACACACACACACCTCAGCCAGTTGGTCTGTCAGTTTCGGCTTTTGGGAAAACTAACATCTGATCGCAAGGAGCGCCAGCGCCTGCTCCTAACTCCAGCTCTTAGGGTCTTTTAGGGTTGGTTTTTGCTGCCCAAGTTTTGCGCCTTTACATAACCACGTCCGCGTCCTCTCAGTGTGTGCGTGCATGTTTATATACCGCCCCTTCGCCTATGTAAACAGCATTATTAAGCTTCGTCAGCCCTGGTCAACGTATTCTTTTCCATATGCCAGCAGGGAGAGAGGGAGAGAGATAGAGGGAGGGAGAGAGAGAGAGAGAGAGAGTTGCCGAGCACCTTGGTTCCCACACAGGCGCATAGATCACCTTATGTTCCAGTATATATATATATATATATGCATGCATATAAACCTATTCACAAGCAGATCAGTTTATATATTGAATACACGAATACATGAATTTAAAACTTTTTCAAGTTTTCTTCTTCTTTTAGCTTTGATATTGAAGTTTACACGTTTCTCGAAGTTAAACTATTGTTTTTGTGTGTTTCCTGTTCACAATACAGACTTATTTTTCCGATTTGAAACTCATGTCCTTATTAATCTGCTGTGCTACAAAATTTGCCTTTTGTTAGTTTTCTGAATTTCGTTTTAAATATCTTTATTCCCTTGGTTTGACCAACAAAATAGATCACAGTTTTAAATGCCAAATTGATCTAGATGCGAAAACATTAACAAAAAACTAAACCTCGTGAGAATCGGATGAGATTTGACCGAGTTATGGGAATGGGAAATTTTGACCCATGTCTACATGAGGATTGATCCAAGTCCAGGGTAAAATTTGACATGAATTTGGACCAAAAATAAGGTCCCCAAACTTAAATGCCAAATTGATCTAGAGGCCAAACCATGAATAAAAAACTAAACCTCGTGAAAATCGGATGAGATTTGACCGAGTTATGGGAATGGGAAATTTTGACCCATGTCTACATGAGGATTGATCCAAGTCCAGGATAAAATTTGACATGAATTTGGACCAAAAATAAGGTCCCCAAACTTAAATGCCAAATTGATCTAGAGGCCAAACCATGAATAAAAAACTAAACCTCGTGAAAATCGGATGAGATTTGACCGAGTTATGGGAATGGGAAATTTTGACCCATGTCTACATGAGGATTGATCCAAGTCCAGGATAAAATTTGACATGAATTTGGACCAAAAATAAGGTCCCCAAACTTAAATGCCAAATTGATCTAGAGGCCAAACCATGAATAAAAAACTAAACCTCGTGAAAATCGGATGAGATTTGACCGAGTTATGGGAATGGGAAATTTTGACCCATGTCTACATGAGGATTGATCCAAGTCCAGGGTAAAATTTGACATGAATTTGGACCAAAAATAAGGTCCCCAAACTTAAATGCCAAATTGATCTAGAGGCCAAACCATGAACAAAAAACTAAACCTCGTGAAAATCGGATGAGTTTTGCCCAAGTTATGGTAATGGGAAATTTTGGCCCATGTCTACATGAGGATTGATCCAAGTCTAGGGTAAAATTTGACATGAATTTGGACCAAAAATAAGGTCCCCAAACTTAAATGCCAAATTGATCTAGAGGCCAAACCATGAATAAAAAACTAAACCTCGTGAAAATCGGATGAGATTTGACCGAGTTATGGGAATGGGAAATTTTGACCGATGTCTACATGAGGATTGATCCAAGTCCAGGGTAAAATTTGACATGAATATGGACCAAAAATAAGGTCTCCAAACTTAAATGCCAAATTGATCTAGAGGCCAAACCATGAATAAAAAACTAAACCTCGTGAAAATCGGATGAGATTTGACCGAGTTATGGGAATGGGAAATTTTGACCCATGTCTACATGAGGATTGATCCAAGTCCAGGGTAAAATTTGACATGAATTTGGACCAAAAATAAGGTCCCCAAACTTAAATGCCAAATTGATCTAGAGGCCAAACCATGAATAAAAAACTAAACCTCGTGAAAATCGGATGAGATTTGACCGAGTTATGGGAATGGGAAATTTTGACCCATGTCTACATGAGGATTGATCCAAGTCCAGGGTAAAATTTGACATGAATTTGGACCAAAAATAAGGTCCCCAAACTTAAATGCCAAATTGATCTAGAGGCCAAACCATGAACAAAAAACTAAACCTCGTGAAAATCGGATGAGTTTTGCCCAAGTTATGGTAATGGGAAATTTTGGCCCATGTCTACATGAGGATTGATCCAAGTCTAGGGTAAAATTTGACATGAATTTGGACCAAAAATAAGGTCCCCAAACTTAAATGCCAAATTGATCTAGAGGCCAAACCATGAATAAAAAACTAAACCTCGTGAAAATCGGATGAGATTTGACCGAGTTATGGTAATGGGAAATTTTGGCCCATGTCTACATGAGGATTGATCCAAGTCTAGGGTAAAATTTGACATGAATATGGACCAAAAATAAGGTCTCCAAACTTAAATGCCAAATTGATCTAGAGGCCAAACCATGAATAAAAAACTAAACCTCGTGAAAATCGGATGAGATTTGACCGAGTTATGGTAATGGGAAATTTTGGCCCATGTCTACATGAGGATTGATCCAAGTCCAGGGTAAAATTTGACATGAATTTGGACCAAAAATAAGGTCCCCAAACTTAAATGCCATATTGATCTAGAGGCCAAACCATGAACAAAAAACTAAACCTCGTGAAAATCGGATGAGTTTTGCCCAAGTTATGGTAATGGGAAATTTTGGCCCATGTCTACATGAGGATTGATCCAAGTCCAGGGTAAAATTTGACATGAATTTGGACCAAAAATAAGGTCCCCAAACTTAAATGCCAAATTGATCTAGAGCCCAAACCATGAATAAAAAACTAAACCTCGTGAAAATCGGATGAGATTTGACCGAGTTATGGGTATGGGAAATTTGGACCCATTGCTACATGAGGATTGATCCAAGTCCAGGGTAAAATTTGACATGAATTTGGACCAAAAATAAGGTCCCCAAACTTAAATGCCAAATTGATCTAGAGCCCAAACCATGAATAAAAAACTAAACCTCTTGAAAATCGGATGAGATTTGACCGAGTTATGGGAATGGGAAATTTTGACCCATGTCCACTTGAGGTTGATCCAAGTCCAGGGTAAAATTTGACATGAATTTGGACCAAAAATAAGGTCCCCAAACTTAAATGCCAAATTGATCTAGAGGCCAAACCATGAATAAAAAACTAAACCTCGTAAAAATCGGATGAGATTTGACCGAGTTATGGGAATGGGAAATTTTGACCCATGTCTACATGAGGATTGATCCAAGTCCAGGGTAAAATTTGACATGAATTTGGACCAAAAATAAGGTCCCCAAACTTAAATGCCAAATTGATCTAGAGGCCAAACCATGAACAAAAAACTAAACCTCGTGAAAATCGGATGAATTTTGCCCAAGTTATGGTAATGGGAAATTTTGGCCCATGTCTACATGAGGATTGATCCAAGTCCAGGGTAAAATTTGACATGAATTTGGACCAAAAATAAGGTCCCCAAACTTAAATGCCAAATTGATCTAGAGGCCAAACCATGAATAAAAAACTAAACCTCGTGAAAATCGGATGAGATTTGACCGAGTTATGGGAATGGGAAATTTTGACCCATGTCTACATGAGGATTGATCCAAGTCCAGGGTAAAATTTGACATGAATTTGGACCAAAAATAAGGTCCCCAAACTTAAATGCCAAATTGATCTAGAGGCCAAACCATGAATAAAAAACTAAACCTCGTGAAAATCGGATGAGATTTGACCGAGTTATGGGAATGGGAAATTTTGACCGATGTCTACATGAGGATTGATCCAAGTCCAGGGTAACATTTGACATGAATTTGGACCAAAAATAAGGTCCCCAAACTTAAATGCCAAATTGATCTAGAGGCCAAACCATGAATAAAAAACTAAGACTCGTGAAAATCGGATGAGATTTGACCGAGTTATGGGAATGGGAAATTTTGACCGATGTCTACATGAGGATTGATCCAAGTCCAGGGTAAAATTTGACATGAATTTGGACCAAAAATAAGGTCTCCAAACTTAAATGCCAAATTGATCTAGAGGCCAAACCATGAATAAAAAACTAAACCTCGTGAAAATCGGATGAGATTTGACCGAGTTATGGGAATGGGAAATTTTGACCCATGTCTACATGAGGATTGATCCAAGTCCAGGGTAAAATTTGACATGAATTTGGACCAAAAATAAGGTCCCCAAACTTAAATGCCAAATTGATCTAGAGGCCAAACCATGAATAAAAAACTAAACCTCGTGAAAATCGGATGAGATTTGAC